TTGATCTGTTCACAACATGGCAGCAGGCGCCTCAGGCCATGTGGGACTTTTGCATGCTGGCATGTGTACGTGGTATCACCCCATTGCCGTCATCGCGCTACCATCGCCTCAGCTATACACGGCCTCTCTACACTGCCTATTCTATTCCATCTTCTTTGCGTTTCGCGTCCTTTTCGCTGTCGACGCGACACCTGCTTCCTATCCTACTACACCACACCACGATCACCGCACTGACAACACAACCAACTCTACGTGTCAGTTGATATCTTCGCACTGATTGCTTTCGGGATAATCGGTGTCTAGTTTGATTAAGCGGCTGAAGCCGAGCATGGCAAAACCTCTCGGTGTCATGTGTGCGCTTTGGGGTGTCAGGTCTAGGGTTTAGGGTTTAGGGTTTCGGGTTTAGGGTTTAGGGTTCAGGGTTTCGGGTTTAGGGTTTAGGGTTCAGGGTTTAGGGTTTAGGGTTTAGGGTTTAGGGTTTAGGGAATGCCCTGGAAGTCTATGTTGTTCTTGATTTAGCCGGAAGGGAAAGGCTGGGAGGAAACGGGGTGACGGTAAGCCGCTATCGTCATCGCCCATCCTTATCATTATCTCATAATCATCAGCAGCAGCATCAGCAGCGTCGTCGCCATCGTCGTCGTACTCATCATCGTCATCATCATCAACACCACCACCAACATCACCACCCTGATCATGACATTACGAACACCTACGGACACCCAGTTGACTAACAATTGCATTCAAGCCCAAGCTCGTCGGTCCGGCATGGGCCGAAGGTTGAGGGCCTTCAGGTTTTGATCTTTCGTTCTTCAGGGTCTTGAGTTTCGGGTTACGCCGACCATGGTGAGAGTAAGAGGGCTCATGGGCTATTGAATCTTTCAGAGTCTTATGTTTAGGGCTCAAGGCCCTGTAGTTCTTATGCCACACAAGCCCGAAGCACCTCAGAAGGCAGTAGAGCAGGAGCAGAGTGACGACATGGAACCACCCGAGCTGGATCGAACCCCGCTGCTGCCTTCGCTGTTGCCAGGCTTGCAGCCGCAACCCGAAGCCTGAAGACCCCAAATCCTGAAACGTGAAACGCCCACTTTCTGCCTCAAACTGCGAGACCGTGAACGCTCGCATGACAGGTTTGGACAGGACTCAGGTTTTGAAGCAACTCCTTTCGATGGCATCAGGCTCTTCCTGGCAGATTGTTGCAAGGATTGCAAAAGCGGGGGGTTGGGGAGGGTGCAATCCCCCCCCTTCCCCCAAACTTTGCAAACACAATGCTCGCACGAGGAGTTTGGACAGGATTCAGGCTTTGAAGCAGCTCCTTTCGACAGCATGAGGTTCTTCATAGCAAGCTTTGCAAGGATTGAAAGAAGGAGGGGGGGGGGGGCACTTGCAAACACAATGCTCGTAAGACGGGTTCAGACACAATTTCAAGTTTGGCAGACTCCTTTCTGATGGTTCTTAAGCGGGGCCTGCAGCCCCTTCCATTCGCAAACACAATGCTCGTGTGACGGGTTTGCACAGCATTCAGATGGGCTTGCACAGAATTCAGATTTGAGGCGGCTCCTTTCGATGGCATCAAGTTCTTCCTGGCAAGCTTTTTTGCAAGGATTAAAGACGTGGGGGGGGGGGGGGGGGGGGGGGCGGTTGGGCAGAAACAATGCTCATATGACGGGGTTGGACACGATTCGGGTCTTGAAGCAGCTCTTTTCGATGGCATCAGGCACTTCCTGGCAGCAAGGATTATAAACACCACTGTTGGGGAGCCGCAGTGTAGCTTCCTGGACCCGCCGACTGACGACCGACCGACGTGTTCGTGGATCGACCGACTGACTGACTGACTGACTGGGTCGGCTGGTCGATGGACACACCAACACGAAAACCAAAGAAATACCCAAAAAGCAACAAAAGATACCCCAGAAAATATCCGCCACCCCAAAAATCTCAATTTATCCTGGCGTTTTTCCCCACACCAGCAAAATCTCTCTCTAGAATCAAGCTGAAACCCAACAAAGCCCTGAAGCCCCAACCTGGGCCCAAGGGGCGCAGCACTGTCCCGGAGAAGGTCCGGCAGGTCCAGCTGCAGAAGCCGGAGGCAGTGGAGAAAGAGGTACCTTTTGCCCGTCTTAGGGCTTGCAGGCCAAGAACAGCTCCTTGATGTTTCGGGGATGTTTTGAAAGCTGAGGGCTCTGGATTTGGGACGTCGGCGCTTGACCTCAAGAGTTGAGGTGAGTGTGTTGCGTCTTGGCTGTTCTTCTGCACTCCATAAACCTGAACCCGAAAACCCAGCGCACTGGATGTACAGGAAGACAATCGTCGCGATCACCTCCGAGACCGCACCAAACCGCATCAAGAGCATGGAACGAGGTTCTCAAGGGTTTCGGGGGTTGCGTTTCGGAAAGCCGACTGGCTCGGCATAAAGCAACATGGCGGCTTTGGGGGACTTCGTGGATGGTCCTGAAATCTGTACATTCTGATTTCTTGGGCTTCAAGGTTCGAAGGTTCAATCCGAAATGAGTACCGCCGCATTTTTGGTGCTCCCCACATGACATGCACACGCACCTTCACGTGGGTTGCGGGTGCTTCACGTATAGGACCCGTGTTGTTAGAATTGGAACTGCATTTCAAGGTGTGAGGAGGGTCCAGCTGAACTGTGAGTCCCTTTTCCATGCCTACGCTAGAAGTCACCAACGCACACCTTAGAGGGCCACTCCCGGGCTAGGTTTTAAGTTATGGAGTGCAGGGCTCACTGACAATTACCACTGGTCATCCTGAGTTTGCAATCCCCTAACGGATGCTCTTCACCCTCTGGGCCCTCACGCGAAAGCTACCTTGAACTCCTGGCGAAAGCAACCATACAGATCTGAAATCCTGCAGAAGCAGCACCCAACTGAAGCAATCCAGAGGATTCCAGAAGCCCTAGAAACCTATAAACAACCCTATATGCCCTAAAGCCTTTAAAACAAAAAACACACATATATATATATATATATACACCCTGTAGCGCTGGCAAGGGGCCAGAAAGACAGGGAGCAGCTTGTTCAGCTCGCCGAAGCGATGCATGTCCTGGCCCTCGCCATACCTTCGCTTCGTCGAGGGGGAGGGGGGGGGGGGTGTTAGGGTTAGGGGTTAGGGCTTAGGCAGCCTGATTTTCCACGACTGCCGAGGCACAAATGTCAGGGAAGTGTCTTGATATTCACAGGGGTTTGCCATTACGATGACGTGTGCTGTTGATCTTGGCAATGCGGGATCCGGTATGCTTGCTTGTTTGAGTCCTTTGAGACGCCTGCGATGGCCTGAAGGCTGCAGATGGAGACTTCAACCCTTCCCATGGGAGAAAAGAGCGGAGCCCTAGGCCAGGCGGCTAGGTTGAAGAGTTGAGGAGTTGCTCCCGCGAGCGACCGCGAAATACTTTAGAAGGCCCTTGAGTGTTGGACTCTGCCGCTTGATGCTACGCGGCCACAAAAATCTGTGCAGCAGATGGCAAAGGCGATTGCTACCGGTGAGAACGCGGAATCGGGTCTGTTGATCAGTTGCATATCACAGATGACCCGTGATGCCAGCCCAAATCACGCAGTTCCCCTTTGTTCACACATCGCAAGGTTGTGTGAAATCCCTGAGGTTCAGATCCTGTGTGCCAGCTAACTGTGCCGGATAAGAGGGGTGATATAAAGGGGGGTGAGGGGTGAGGTGGTTTTGGGGCTGCGGGCTTTGCCTACCCTACACTCATGCTGAGGACCCGAACAGCTTTCCTTCAGCCTGGCGCAAGCCCCCCAAACCGCAGCAACACCACTCTCTGAGGGCACAGGCACATCGGGAACTGATCAGGCGAGAGGCCCCCCTGATAAGTGCAGCAACCCTGTGCCCAAACCCTACAGCAAGGCTCTGGGGGTCCTCGAATGAAACCGTTGGGCAAAGGCGCAGATCTCGCTCACGACTCTGTCTCCCAGAAGGCATCGTTCGTACAAGGCAGCCGTGCGTCTTCCTCGCGAACGCTTAGGGGTTTTCGGGGTTTGGACATGGGCTTGGGCGTTGATCTGGCTCCGGGGTTTCAGGGGCGTCTAACCAGGCCCTGAAGCCTACATCCCGGAATGGGCCTCGACTCTAGCACCCTTTTGTAGATGGCGGAGATCTCGGCTGTGCGGAGTCATTAATATCCCTTGTAAGAACATGCTACGTTTATATTCCGGAGGGGTGGGGCATGGTGGAAGTTCCTGAAACTGTGGGTTTCCCCCTTATGCTAACAGCCCTTGATAGGGATTCTATACAAGGGGGAACATCCCAAGCTATCACGATACCGGGGGGGGGGGGTGCGCGGCCCCTCTCGCTTGCCGTCGCTCACCCTCTTGACGTCGCCATGTTGGGGGGGAGAGGGGGCCCGAAGACATCACGCAAAAAGAGGTTCCTCCGGCTCATGGCTTGGAAGTTCGAGCAGAGTGCCGGACTTGCGAATTTCCAAGGTTTGGAGGCTTGAAATGTAGGGCTTAGCTTAGGGCGCGACTCGTCGGGCTTTAAGAGCCATTGCTTCAGATCCGAGGTGCTTATCGGCCGGAGGCGCTGGCTGCCATTGAGTAGACCTAACAGAAGACCTGACTCTCGGGACCTGGAGCCCGACTTCCACAGAAATAACAAGCATGTGAGGGTTCTCAAGGTTTCGGGTGTCGGTTTTAAAAGCTCTAGGCCACACCCTGCGACATCCTAAGCCCCGAACGCTTTCAACCCTGGAGCCGTCAAGCCTGCGAAACCCCAAACCCCAAAGAACCTTAGCCAGGCCCTATTCGAGCCACAAGCACCTACACCCGAAAACTACAAAGCTGCTTAGCAACACCGGGACACTCATGCGCAAACCTCAATCCTAGAGCCTTGAATTCCTGAAGCCTACAACCCTCAATCCAAGATGAAGAGCCTGGATCCTTCAGCCCTAAACCCTAAACCCTAAACCCTAAACCCTGAACCCTAAACCCTAAACCCCAGAACATGAGGAAGGCGTCGACTTTGAGGCCCCGGGCGCTCAGGAGCTGCGCTGCGGCGACGAGTTGCAGCTCCTGGCTCTCCGGTGTGTAGAGTGCCTTGTGGTACGAATACATGTGTATTTATTTATTTTTCTACTTATTTATTTATTTATATGTCTGTACAGATAGATCTTTATATATATATATATATCTATATATATATATACATATATACACATGTATACACATACACATATATCTGTGTCTGCAAAACACACATATACGACCCCATGACCATACACCTACAACCAGATAGGCAGAGAACGACAGTGACACCAAAAGCAGGTAGGCCGAGGACCCCACGACAGTGACACCAAACCCTGAGTATCAAGAGGATACCGTGACTGTCAGAGGACCGACCGCAACACCGACCAACTGGTAGGCAGAGGACCCCACGACCGTAACTCCAAACACCGGGTCGGTTCTCCGCTTGCCCGGTGTTCGGTGTGACGGTCGCTCGGTCAGCTCTTCCACTTACACACCTATGCGCCGTCCCTCCTCCTGACTTCTTGGGGTTTTGGGGCAACTAAAGAAGGGTCCCCCTCGGGTGCCCCGGTGAACCGAAAGCCAAAGAAGCCCTGACAAAGGCCTCGGAGGCATTGAGCAGCCGTTCAAGGCGCTGGCGCCTCGGAAGTGTGGGGGGGGAAAAGCGGGGGGGGGGGGGGGGGCGGGAAATGGTAGAGGTTTGTCAGATGGTTTCAGGGGCTTGCAAAGGAGCTTCGGCAGGTGAAGCAGGAGTTGAAGGAGCTCTGCCGAGGTTGAAGTTCCTGAGCCAAGCTTGGGCCATATGTCAAAAACCCCCAAAAACCTCAAAGCTTTGCTACGCGCGAAGGCACGCAAGTTCCTGCTCATAAGCTAAACTATGTTGACCCCTAAACCCTAAACCCTAAACCCTAAACCCTAAACCCTAAACCCTAAACCCTAGACCCTAGACCCTAGACCCTAGACCCTAGACCGAACTGTTATGAACTTTCAAGTGAAGGCTCTTGGGAGTGTGGGTGGAAGCTGCAGCGGCACTTTGATACCCCGAAACCTGGATCCTACTGCAAGGGATCTCTGGGCTTCAGGGCTTCAAATCTTCACTCCAAGCCTACACGCCAACCACCTTGGTCCCCAAGCATGCAGTCAATTTTTCTCATCCCCCGTCCAAGCGCACGCGATCCGAAGATCGACCCCCGCCTTGGCCCTGCCCCTCTCAGCCTCTCAGGCTCTAAACTTACAGGGTTTCTTTAGCTTTCGCGTTTTTAGGGTTTTGAGGTTGTTTGAGGATGTTTGAGGATGTTTGAGGCATAGGTTTGGTTTGGGGCTTCAGGGCTCTCAGTGCTACATGTGGTGTCGAGCGCTTTGTCGGGGTTTAGGCTTCAAGTTGCTTCAAGTTGCCTGCTTCTTCTGGCCCTCAACTCCCTGCCCTCACTGCCCTCACCAGCTCACATCGCAGTCAGAGGATGCCATGGAGCCGCTTTGCCTGCCAAAGAGACGTTTCTACCTTTGGGTTGAGGGCCTTTCGGGCTTGTGCGCGTTTGAACCGCATTGGTCGCTTGAGCCCCAAGCCTATACCCTCAACACCGAAGCCCCTCCCAAATCAAAAACGCCTGGAACCCTCCAGAAACCTTAGAACCTTGCACCATAAAACCCTGAACCTCTAACTTCCAAAAGTGAGCCAACCTAAACCCTAGACCGTTCGTAGTTGAGGCGTTAGGTGGCTGGCTGCAGATGGACTTCTGCCGGAAGCTTTGTCCACATCAGAACCCTTTACAGGAGCTTGGGGACAGGCCTTAACCCCAAACCCCAAACCCTAAACCCTAAACCCCAAACCCCAAACCCTAAACCCTAAACCCGAAACCCCAAACCTTAAACTCTAAACCCTAAACCCTAAACCCCCCGGTAGATCTATCCCGCGCCTCTTCCGTTAGGTCCGTGGGATACGGAATCCCGGAGGAGCCGTGGAATCGGCCTCGGGTTTTGGGTTTAGGGTTTAGGGTTTAGGCTTTAGGCTTTAGGCTTTAGGCTTTAGGCTTTAGGCTCTAGGCTTTAGGCTTTCGGCTTTAGGGCTTTAGGGCTTTAGGGCTTGGGGTTTCGGGTTTAGGGTTTGGTTTAGGGTGTATAGAAGGGAAGCTCGCTGGTGCTAAAAGCACCGGGCCGCTCGCTTGCGTTAGCATGTAGTCCCACCCCAACCACCCAAACTATTCTCATTTAGGGTTTAGGGTTCACCCCCCTTTTTCAAGGGGGGCTTTCTTGCTTTTTGCAAAGAAAGAGCAGGGTGGGGCCTCCCGAGCTTTGTGGAGCCTGTCAGTGGCTCGTAGGCTTTTTGGAGCTTTCACGGAGTTAAATGGAGGGGTGCCCAAAACCGTCAATTGCAATACTAAATAACCCACATTTTCATTACGGGTCTGGGAAAATCCTGGATCTTCATGCAGCCTTAAGGCAGCAAAACGGTAGGGTTAAGCAGTCTCCTCGGCCGGCCCCTGCTTTCAACTATGAAAACAGTTTGCAAAGTTGAAGGGTTCCAGGTTTGGAGGTCCTCAAGGGGTGCCAGGCGGCAGGGGCTTCGGTGAGGGCCAAGAAATTGTCAGGTTTCTGGGGGTCTGAAAAAATCATGGGCGTCTCAGCAGGGTTTGGGGTTCAGGCGGGTCGAAAGGGGCGTCCCAGGGGGCGTCCCAGGCGGTCCCAGGGGGGGGTCCCAGCAGGGTCCCAGGAAAGGGTCGCAAGGGTTTGGAGTTGTTTTAGGGCATCGTGCAAAAACCCGCACCCTGGAATCTGCCAGCCTGAGGCCCCAGGCCCCTCTGGGGGGAATATTACGGCTTTTCAGGCGTAGCCAGGCACTGCAGACCCCGTCTACTGGGAGGCTTTACCCTCCCTCACCGTTCTGTGGAGACGCTGGGTCGGGGACCTCGGTCGAAGCCTCGAGCGCCCATGTAAATGGACAGCGGCGCTCTCGGCAGTTTAGGGTTTAGGGTTTAGGGTTTGGGGTGCAGGGCTTACTTCGGATTTAGGGTTTAGAAATATCAGGGTTGGCCGGCTAGATCAGAGTGAATGCTGTTTCCTTCGGAATGATTGCTAATTTCAAGTTACTACCTTACACTACAACCTCAACACGTCTTACATCTGCAAGCACCAGAAGTTGGAAGGGTCGTCCTCAGTCTTCTCAATGTCCCCATCGGCAGTGCTAGGGGGCTTCGCCCGTGAAGCCGTTCTTGCCGTTTTTACCCATGGACATGAACCCTAAACCCTAAACCCTAAACCCTAAACCCGGGTTCTAGGTGTTTATGGCGTTTGGGGCTTTCGGTCAAACCAAGCGGCTCTTCTTGAAGGGCTCGAAGCCATCCGGTTTATGGTTCGTCGTCGCGGCCACGCCGCCGGCCTGGCGATATATAGGGCATCATAGGGCTCTTGGTTGAACCGTTAAATCGTTAAGCCATTCAATGCTAAACATCCCCCAAAATTTAGGGGTGCTTAGTGCAACCCAAAACCGTCACTGCTTGCACGGCCCCAAACCCTAAAACCAACACGAAACCTGCAGAACACCGATGGAGACGACTCCTGTTAGCTGGCACGATGTGCACGCATGCTGTGCATAGCTGCGTGCGTGTGGTCTACAGCAAGTCTTGTGAAAGGCTCCGCCCTTCACACTGCAAGGCGACAAAGCGAAGCCCAAACCCTAACTAAGCCTCCGCAAAATCTGATTCCCAAAACTTGGGACCCTTATGCTAACAGTCCTTAGTGGGGATTGTCGTGTTGTCGTACCCCCCATTACAATTGGACATCCCAACCCAAAACCCTTGAAGGATTTGGGTGGGCTGCACATCGCGCACATCTGAAACCCTTCAAGCTCAAAAAATGCACCCCAACAAAACACAAACACCTCGGATCCGCAAGCTGGCCTTAGGAACATCGATTCCCTGGGCTTTGGGCTTGGAGTCCCTCCCCCACTCCCCCCTTGAAATCCTCGAACCTGAAGTGCTTATGGCACATGGGCCTGAAAGGCATCGCGCCGCTTCTTCAGCGCCCCCTCCGGGGAGCGCGAGGTCGTGGCGTTCGAGGGGCTTTTGGGATCTTCAGGCCTTAAGCTTCGGGTTTGGGGCCCGGGGGCTGTTCAAAGGGGGGGGGGGGTGGGTGGGCTGGGGGTTCCTTACTACCCAAATTGCAGTATGTTTTGGCGTTTAAGGATTACAAATCAAAAAAGCTGAACGAAGAAAATCAATAGAAAGATTGTGCACCGAAATTCCTGTGAAAGAACTTCTTTTTGGCGGTTTCACTTCATGTACCAGCTTCAACTGTGATGAAGGCACATTGTGGATCTGCATATTCTCATTCACGTTACTACTTTCACTTTACTAGTATTCGTTTGTAGTAGATTCTAAAGCCGCTCACTCAGGCGTCAAATTGGTGTGCAAAAGACGTCCATTAACATCAGAACTCCTCGTAAATGAGTTCATAGGTATCCCTTCATACGTCCTTATAGTTGTTTACGAAGTGTACAAGTTAACGCACGCACAACCGAACCCTGTTAAGCAAATCTGCAACCCACACCCTCAACAACAGAGAGACAGAGACAGAGAGAGAGAGAGAGAGAGAGAAAACCCTAAACCCTGCACCGCAGCAGCACAAAACACGGCAGAACACCGCAGACCCTCGAAATCACCCCCCAAGGCCCTGCAGCCACCCTGACAGCGCCCGAACCTGAAAGCCCTCAAAAGGAAGCTCGAAATTCAAAGCCCTGAAGCCCCGAGCGCCGTAACGCCATCCCGGGGGCCTCGGGGGTGAACTCACGTAGTCCCAAGCCTTGAAAAGCTTTGGAAGGCTTTCGAAGGCTTAGAGTTGAGGGGCTTATCGATGCTTTTAGGTTTCCGGGCTGAAGCCTTTCTGAAAAAAAACAGTTTTAGCTTTAGTCCTCAGGGCCTAGGGCGCCTTGTTCCTCAGGGGTGTAGGCTGATAGGGATCGCAGGCTTTCGACTGCCCGAGCCGCAGAAGTAAGCCGCCGCACGCCCGACGAAGGTGCGCCGCCCTGCACTTTGTCGAGGAGTGACTGTGAGATGCTGTAAGCTTTGGCAGCACCCTGAAGTGCCCTGAACCCTATAAACCTTTCACAAACCCCAAGCCTCCCTACGTTAAGGCAGCAAATCCTCCGCGAAGTTTCAGGCCAACGAACTGGGACTAGGGAGAATGATAGCTTGACAACCTCATCTCGCGCCTCCTCAAAACCTTGGGCCATGTTCTGATCCAACACCCCCAAACCCCACACCTTCCTACCTCACACACACACACACACACAGATATATATATATATATATAGAGAGAGATATATATATAAAGAAGCCATTTCGGCTTTCGGCAAAGTCAAAGAAAAGGTTGATGTGACTGGCCTGAGGCTTTCGGACCCTGCAGTTTCTTGGGCAACATGTGGGCTGTAGATGCTGTATGGAGAGAAACTGGGAAACAAGAAGTAGATAGTTGATGCTTGAGGCTTTATAGTTGGGGCTTGGGCTTTGCATGTAGGCTTTCTTGCTGGGGTTTGGCCCTTACTTGGAGAAACAACTTGGCTTAGAATTGCAGTTTGTCTTGCCCATGCCCCCACGTTGACCTCACCATGTACCGCAAGAGCCCTTTTACGCAAGCCTTCCATTGC